CCTTTTGCTGCCTGACCTTTGGGCATCATTTAGAACAGGGGTCCTCAAACTACGGCCCGCGGGCCACATGCAAATACAAATATTGTATTTGTTCCCGTTTTGTTTTTTTTACTTCAAAATAAGATATGTGCAGTGTGCATAGGAATTTGTTCAAAGTTTTTTTTTTTAAACTATAGTCCGGCCCTCCAACAGTCTGAGGGACAGTGAACTGGCCCCCTGTTTAAAAAGTTTGAGGACCCCTGATTTAGAACATAACTGAATACTTGTGGAAAGAGTAGTGACAGAAAGCCTTAAACTAGCAGAAATTTAGAGAAAAGACTAAGTCTAAGAAGCTGAGTACCCAAAGCCCATCATTTCAGTCTCAAATCAGAGTGGAGCACAGTAAAGGAGTAACCTCTTCCTCCCATCACCCCAGCGCTCAGAAGAGAAAACCATCCAGCCACAGGTGCCCTAACTTGAACCCTCCAACTTCCGGCTTGCTGCCAGAGGATCTTCCCCATGCCCGATCTTCACACTTCTAACACAAGCCTGAAAGGCTCCCCACTACTTTCCATATCTGCACCAGTTAGGCTGGCATTTGAGGTCCTCTATTTTATGGCTCAACTTATCCTTCCATGTTTATCTCCCAATGTGCCCGTATATCCATCAAACTGAATACTCAACATAAGCCAACACATGTCACTCCCTCCAACTGACTGGCCCATCCTCACTCTAGTCTCTGCCTGTTAAAATCCTTATCCCTCCCTTCGAGGTCCTCTTCAAGTTATCTATCAGGTTTCATGAAACCTTTGTCCATTTATCACATTGTGCCTGTATTAGAATTAAATGGTATATATTATTTTCCTGTTCGCTTATAATTGCTATAAAAGCCATGCCTTTCATATTTTATTTATTTCTGTTTGTATATCTCTAAGAACACAGTGCTCATAATTGCTAAATAAATTAATCATTTCAAGATATCAGTAATAATGTAACCAACTCCTAATTTATGGAAAACCATTTTGTTAGAAAATATGATTTAAAAACAGTAGTTTTGAATGTTTCTTGGCTCCAGACAGAACCTAAAACATCTGGGAAGTCCTGTGAGTCACTGCAGGGGAAGTGGGAAGTCAGCTAGAGGAGGCAGGCCTGGGGAGGGGGGCTGAGTTCAATCTGCAAAGTGAGACAGTTTGTGATGAGTGACGTGACAGTGATACTAATGAGGCACTCAGGTGTTTGTGGAGAGAGACAATGTACCTCAACAGTGAGGCCCGAACATCTATTAGGGATTCCATCTGTCCATTCAGCAGCATATGTGCAAATGGAAAACGTGTTTCAAGGGATCCCCAAACAAGTTATTTATTCCCGGTACAGAATCACACTAGCACCTCACCCCATTCTATGATGCTTTGAAGCACAATATTCACATCAAACGCCAGGATTGACGGTGAGGATTTTTAAATGCAGGAGTTGCAAGACAAGGTCCAAATCCTCATGAATAGGTACGCTTGAGTATAATGAGAACTGTGGTGAGACAGGAGGAGCGTGCAGAGGATTCTGTGAAGTAATGAGAGCAAAGAGAAGAGCCAGAGAGAGTGGTGTCATGGACCCAACATAGTAGAAAGTTTCAGGAAAGCAGGAGTGGTAACAACTTCAAATGACACTGCAGAGCACGAATCTGGCACTTAGAGGTCACTAATGATGAGAAGAGATAGTTTCATGAGATTGGCAGGTGTGGGAGTCAGACTGAAGAGAGATGAAGAATGTTGAAGTTTGTCAAAACAGGAAAAGGAAATGAGGACATCATCCTATGGGGTGCACAATCAAGAAAACACGGTTTTTATTTTTACACACACACACACACACACACACACACACTGATACTTGTCAATGCACCCCCCAAATAGAATAATCTATTTCCTACAGGTGATGAAGTAATAAATCCAAATGTAGACTATTCTTTCCCTTATTTTCGGAATGATAAAGGGAAAAGGTAACCTAGAAGAGCAAGAGCATTGAGGGAGGTGGGAAATTTCTATTTGTTTTGAAAAGTCAAGTTTATTGTAGTCAGGTGATTCATGAAGTTTTGGCCTCTTCCATCTCGCAGTGGGTCCAATAATCCATGGACCCACCTTATGGCTATTTTACAATTCTGAATGTATTATTAGTAAACATACTCGACCCCTGGTAGAATTACCACAATGGCTCTCTGATGGAGTATAGGCTATTATGATAGGAATGAGCAAGTGAAAGATTCTGAACATCCCCTCTCTACAAGGATAGTAAGCCAGAAGAAATACCACATCCATGAACAAATTGGAGAGATTCACACTTCTATCAAAAACTTGACATTTTCAATGGTTGCAATTCCTATCACATTAATATTGAATTTACCTCTCTGGTCTGTGCAGAAGCAGATAGATCGTGGAGAATGGCTATGGACTATCATAAACCAATTGAGGCAGTAGTTCCAATGTGACTAATTTACCAAATGAATTACCTTTTCTGGAGCAAATCTAGCTCCTGACACCTGATATGAAGCTGCTCATCTGGAAAATGCTTTATCAATACGCAGGAAAGGCAAGAAGCCATTTACTTCAAGTCAAAGCTAAGAGTACACTTTCACATTCCTGCCTATAGGGCTATAACAACTCTTGTCTTTACCATAATTACAGAGATTTGCTTGTCTTCACTTCCTATAGAATATCAAACTAGTCCACACATTGATTACACCATGCTGACTGGACCTGATGAACAGGGAGTAACAAATCCCTTAGATGTCCTAGTAATAAGCATCCAAGCTTGATGACGAAAAAAGAAAATAACATGAAAATTCAAGGGCTACAATCCCAGTAAAGTTTCTGGGGATCGAGTCTGAAACATGTTGGAATGTCCACTCCAGAGTGAAATGCAAGTTGCTGGACTCTGAACAACTTATTACTGAAAAGAGGCACAGCACGGCATGGGCCTCTTTGATTTTTGTTTGTTTGTTTTTGTTGATCCTCACCCGAAGACATTTTTCCATTGATTTTCAGAGAGAATAGAAGGGGGGGGGGGGGGAGAGAAACATCAATGTGAAAGAGATGCACTGATTGGTTGCCTCCCACCCCAGCCTCGAGGTACATGCCCTTGACGGGAATCAAACCTGGGCCCCTTCAGTCCATAGGCTGATGCTCTATCCACTGAGCCAAACCAGCTAGGATGGGCCTCTTTGCATTTTAAAGATAATACAGACCACATTTCAACATGTTCTGACTTTTTTTTACTAGGTAACCTATAAGACCACCAGTGTTGAGAAAGGTCCAGAGCAAGATATGGTTATGGAGTATGTCTGATCTGCAGCACAAACTGCTATGCTACTTGGGTCTTAGGACACAGTGGATCCAATTTGTAGAATCCACTAGAATCTAGAGAATCACAGCACAAACGTCTAGGATTCTGAAACAAAGCCATTTCCTCTTTTGCAGATAACTGTGCTTTTAAGAAATGACTCCTGACTTGTAACTAGGCTTTGGCAGAGCCGGATTAAAGGATATCCAGTGACTGTGTGAACTGATCTGCCCATAATGATGTGAATGTTATCTGACCCACCAAGCCATAAGGTTGGGCCTATGTAGAAGCAATCAATCATCAAAAGGTAAAGGTATACATGAACGGGCTAAAGCAGGTCAACAAGGCACAGAAATTACACAAGCAGAGAGGCTCAAACACCTCAAACACCTGCTCCTACTTATCAGACCTATAGCTGCATGGAGAGTTCCTTGTGACCAGCTGAGTGAGAAGGAAACTTGGGCCTAGCTTAGAGATGGTGTTCATGATATCAGGCACGCAGCAAACAGCCTTACATCTCCAAAAAAGAGCATTCCTGAAATACTTTGTGAAGAGAAACTGTCCCAGCAGACACAGCTGTGACCAGTACATTTTCTTGTCCACTTTATCTACATTGAGAAATGGCTAAAATTAGGGATCTATACTGAGTCATGGGCAAAGACTAATGGTTAACCTGGATGGTCAAGAACTTGGAAAAAAAAACAATATTGGAAGAGAGAGGAAGGAGGTCTAGGGGAGAGGTATATGGATGGACCTTTCAGAAGGAGCACAATGAGTGTAAAACACACTTTGTCCCATGTGAATGTACACCAAAGGGCCTCTCAGTAATCAAGTGAACAAATTAGATGTCATCCTCTTTCACCAGCCACCCCAGTGCTTCCTCAATAGACCAAGTAGAAGTGGCCACGGTGGCAGTAGAGAGGCTATGCATGGACTCAACAAGGACTTCTCACAAGGCTAACACAGCTCCTCCCAACGACGAGCACCTAACCTGCCGGCAGCAGAAACCAATCTTCAGTGCCCAAAACAGCCATTCCCCTGAAGGATCGGACGGCCACTTGGTGGGCAGATGAATTACACTGGATCCTTTCCATCAAGGAGAAGGTGTGTGTATGTACATATACCCATACACACATACATACGTGTACACCCATGAAATTTATTTTTCTTTACTTCTCCTTTTTCTATCCTTTTCAGTAAGGATTGGTCATGGTGCTTAATTTCATCATTTAATTTCTAGGTTACAAAATATTCCTATGGAATTGTGAATAAACTGGAAGAGATAAATCACCCAGAGACAGGTATTATAACTGTCACCCAGCAATGAAATTCTTAATCTGAGATACTGAAGTAAGTACATGGATAATTAGGAGAACTAAAATCTCCTTGTAATCATGTAAGAAAAAAATCACCCATTAGAATAGCAAAAATTTGAAAGACTGATCATACTAAGTGTTGGTAAGTATATGGAGCAACCAGAATTCTCATGTATTGCTAGATGGAATGTAAATTGGTAGATCCACTTTGGAAAACCATTTGATAGTATCTTCTAAAGCTAATCATACACCTACCCTATGACACTAATTCTACTTCTAGCTATATAGACATATGAGAAATGAGTGCATATTTCCACCAAAAAAAATGTATGTGGATTCCTGTTGGTCAGCCTCAAGGTCATTATCATATCTAGAAGCCATGTCCACCTTGTTTCCCTCCCTCTTCCCCTGTGTGACTGAAACTCTGTGGTTTAATCTGGATCGGCCTTGTGTGGAAGAGACAGAGCTGCAGCAGCAAGAACAGAAGCATCAAGCCTGGCTCCAGAGCATCGCAGAGAAAGACAACAACCTGGTACCTATTGGCAAGCCGGCCTCAGAGCACTATGATGATGAGGAAGAGGAGGATGAAGATGACGATGAGGATAGTGAAAAGGACTCAGAGGATGATGAGGACATGCAGGACATGGACGAGATGAATGACTACAATGAGTCACCTGATGATGGAGAGGTCAATGAGGTGGACAGGGAAGGCAACAACCAGGATCAGGACCCGTGGATGATCTAAGTAGACAAGGCAGGATGGCCTCAAGGAGATTCCAGGCCAACCCAACCTACCCTGTGACTCCTGCAGAACCAGCTGATCACCCCAGTGCCTGAAAGTTCACCCTCAGGCACCTCCTCAGCTGCTGCCAGGACCTGTTCTCCTTGGCCCCTCCCAGGCCATCAACCTGCCCTTGAATCCCCAGGACCTGAGTCCACCCCACCTTTCTGGCCAGTATCTCACCCCTTGAGGTGTAGTCTCTTTCTAACTCTCTTTAATAAAGACAGGACTGATTCCTCCCTCCCGCCAAAAAAAAAAAAAAGTACGTGTATGAGTGTTTAGAATAGCTTTATGTATAACAGCTAAATACTATCCATCAATAGCACAATAGATAAATCGTATTATAATCAGACAATGGAATACCACACAGAAACTGAAAAGAAAAAAGAAAAAAACTTCTGCCACAGGCAATAACATGAAAAATACCAAAGTAATGCTCAGTAAAAGAAGCCAGACACAAAAGAATACACATTTTATTATTCCATTTATACAATGTCATAAATAGGCCAAATAAATGTTCAGTGCTAGAAGAGTGGTTTACCCCTGAGTGGGTGAGTGGAGGGAGGAGGGGGATACTGTTTGAAAAGGGACACAGGGAGCCTCTTTGGTACTGAAAATGTTGTGTGTCTTGATCTGGATCGTGTTTACACAATCGTATCTATACGTGAAAATTCATCCAGCTATGTAAGATCTGTGTACTGTCCTATATATTAGACCTCAACATTGTTTTTAAAAGATGTATGTGCATGCATATATTACTTAAAGAATCCAGAGAGGGACATAAGACACTGGGGGGTAGGGGAGGCCGGGGGAATGTCAAGGAGGGGGGGGGGGGGG